ATGTCAGAAAGTATTGTTAATTTCACGGGGTTAAGGGAAAGTAAATTCAGAGGGAATACAGATCACTTAGCACAGAAAACCAGCTCCTCTGAAGTTTGGTTTTACATTTGTTAACCATATCCTTCAGCTGACGAACCATTGAGACCACGGTGACATTCTGGTCCCAGATATAATGGCTTGACATGCTGCAGTGAGAGCGTGATTCTGTCGCCCTGCTCCGTGCCAGCCTCAGCCTTCCCCTGAATCAATGAAGCACTAAAACTCCACACAACTGGAACTGAACAAAGCATGTTGCCATTTGGGCTGTGATGTTTAAATTATAGAGAAAGCAGTCAGGATGTCTTAAAGTTCAATCTGACAGGAAATGTAAAATATATTTCTGTCTTCATTCTCTGGGAAGGTAGCATCGTACACCGCACGGTATCACTACCCAGAGTCCTTTTAAAATGGCTCATAATAGAGCATTAAAGACCAAATTCTTGCATTTCAGGCCTTTTTTTTTTTCCTAACCAAAAAGACACTTTAGCATCGGGAAAAGTTTCTTGGGGAAAATGTTGTTTTACTCAGTTGGCAATGTAGGGCTATATAGTCCCTTTAATTCACTGTCTGTTCTGAAACACGAAATTAAGATATGCTGCCAAAGACATGCAGGGCATGGGGTATACAACTCACCACCCCCACCACCACCGAGATAAAATGTATGCTTATGCCACATAAGTAATGATCAAAATATGCACTAATGTGAAGACAGTGAGCCTGTGAACTCTGATAAATCCTGCAGTTTTAGTTAAACATAGTTCACTGGGCTGGTATAGACAGACCGTGACAGGTTAGGATGGGTAGTTCTGATTTAGTTTTTGAAACAAGATTTTTCAGATTCAAATTCAGACTGGGCTCAGCTGCCCCTTATAATTAAATCCTAATGACTTAGGCTGAGTGTTTGTGTTTTGGCAGCATGCTTAAGTGTTAGCATTTAAATGGTCACAACTAGAGGCTGAGAGGAGGAAGCCCACCCATTCAGTTCGTAGGTGAAGTTTCTCCAGAGATGCTCTGGTTGACTGGGATGCGGACAGCAAGCCATAAGACATCCAGCTGTAGTAACTCATTAAATGTTAAATTAGAATAAAATCCTGCATACAGTGGCCCGAGGGCCAGAGCTTACTAGTTTTAACACTCTTCACCAGAAATAACAGTTCTGTATGTGTTTGCACGGCGCCACAGGGTCCACTGGTATGCGGAAGCCGTATGCGGTAATTCTCATAAAATCACCCTTTCTCACAAAATGGCAAGAACAATCAGGGTACACATTATAATCAGCTCATTTTTTTTTAAAAAAAGAATTATTATTAACTTTGCAGTGGTATATTTCACTAGCTTTCTTTTATAATTAAAAACTTTTTCCGCTCAAATCCTTTTCTAGCAAGCAGCCTGTTGCCTGAAGTTTTAATCCTTCATCACTAGTTAAAACAAAATCACCAATTAGGCACATGAACACGTCTGTATTAATCTCATTAAGGTGATGGCACCAAATAAATTGGAACTATTTTTGTGCTTTTACTGTGTTCCTATGGCTTTATCAGGCCCTGTGGTCATATACAAAGACCTCGAAGCTCAGTCATTTAGAGTCATTCAGTTGTGGACCGAATGTGGCATTACCATCTATGGCTGAAAATTGCTTTCAGCTTTTAAACTGCACTGACTAGTCTGTAGTTAATCTTAGATCATTCACTCGCAAAATTAAATGAGCCAGAACGATGGTCTTTTTTTAAAATATAAAATAATACATCACAAAACACTTATTTGCCCTGCCCAAAAGAGAGATCAAATTCATTTAAAATCCCATAAACCAGAGTTTTGAATTTTTAATTTTATTTAGTAGCAGAGAAATAGAGGGTAAGCTATCTTTCTATAGCACATCATTGCTATAAATTTACATATGGAACATGGTTTGATGCTTAACCAACCTTTAATCTACCTTTGATGTATACTTTACTTCAACATGGTCACGTGACACTCTTATTAATGCAAATGTAAAAAAGGCTGTTTTGGATCTTTGATGTAATTAGCCATAAACCCTGTTTTTTTTTTTTTAAAGGAGGAGTGTCTACTTGAGTCACTGGAGTTGCATATAAAGTTCACAGTTATCCAAGAAGAATAACCTTAAGAAGCTAAGTTTAAAATTTGACTTCATTCATTCCTATGTTTTCTGTCTAAGTAACTATTGAAGAGCACTTTATTATACCAGTGATAGTCAACTTAAGATTTGATTGCTAATTTGTTTCATAGAAGTAAAGCATGTAAATTTTCATAAGATTTTTTTATCTAGCTTATAAACGTAAAATCACACTGACAGAAAAGTGCTAACTAAGGCAATGGAAAACATAATAGTTCCTATTCTGATTAGTATATATTATAATCATTTCAAACATATCATCATTTAAATAAAAACATGGGGTGCATTTGCTTGCCACTCATTCCCTCCCTGTGCACTGCCATACCCAACAATGTGGACCAAATGTTTATGTTTTGATTTTGGCGGTCACTAATTTTAGGCTCCAAAAAACATGAGCCACAACAAATGAAGTGAGGTCACTCCAAAATGCCATTTGGAGGCAAAAAGTTTGGATATTTGAGGTTCTGACCCAGAGAGTCCCCTGGTGAATGACAGGATGCTGAGGTTAGATATTGGAAATAAGATTCATGCTCCTCTGTCACTGGAGCTGGTGCAAGCTGCCTGTTTGACAGAGAAGGCGGTGTGTGGTCTGGACCTCAAGAAAAAGGAAGTCAGCCACCCAAATCAAAATCACCCTGTCGGCCATCCAGAAACGATTCTGACATCAGCTTAGGAAGAAAGGAAGAAAATGGTAAAAAATATATATATAAAAATTGTACTTTAGTTTGAGATAGTCTAGGGCATTTCATGTATCTATCTAAATGTTATAAAAGTTCCTGAATTTTGAATATAACTGCTAAAGTTACATTGGTGACATCTCTGTAGTTTTACTGCATGTCAGAAGCATACATGACTCAAGTTGTACTGTTCCATAAATTAACCATTCACCACTTTAAAAATGAGTTTTATAAGCATAAATGCATGAACTAAAATGCATTTCTCTTTGGGTGTTCTTTTAAACTCAAACCAAAGCAAAATTGACTGAAATTAACAGACAAATGAACAACCACTCACTGTTTATATAATTATTTTGCCAACTCTGGACATGTCTTTCCACCTTGTTCATAATAACCTAAACAAAAAGAATTTTGTGACCAAAACAACATACTTATTTTTATGGAAACTGTCATTCCTGTCTTCTAAACTTTCTTGAGAACCCTTGACCTCATCTTAAATATAACTAGATTCTTTAAATCCCATATTGCTAATTTAAAGTAAGTATTATATTTATATTTTTCAATACATTTTAATTATTTCAAAAAAAGATAAATCTGTCCAAGACCTATCTCTTTTCCAAGAATATCAGAACAAAATGTTCATATATATTTTTAAATCTCATCCAAATATCAGGTGACCATTCTAAATACCTCACAGTATTAGTCATGCCATCTCCAGAAAACTATCTGCATATTGTTGTTTATTCTGTGAAATAGTCCTTTTTTTTAATAGCCTGAACCAAATAATTTCTCATTTTTACAGGCTTCACTTCACTTTTCTCACAGTGAATAAATTGCAACTTATTTCCATGAAATTCACAGATGACACAGATCTTTATTTTGCATAAAGGCATAAAGAAGTGTCTAATATCTTCAATATTCATCTGCTAAGTGGACATTTGCATTGGGTTAGAACGGAAAAAGAGCCCCAACCCTCCCGCAGTGACAGCTGTACAAAGGGATGACATCTGACAGCTGTGACAGTGCTGAAGGGAAACTCAGATGACTCGCAGCATCCATGATCCAATTACAGCACACATCCCTCTGACAGACCCAGCAGCTTGACTCCAGCGTTTGGAAGGACAGTATTGATCTCTTGTCAGAAACCAGTTGCCTGCCTGCAATTGTGCGCTGCTGAACTTTGAAAAGCTATAGTACCCTCTTAAATGATAGGGGCAGTCAGGTTATAGTATTCAGGTACAAAGAGAGGTGCAAAGGGTATCTGCTAAATGCTCTAAACTTGAACAAATCATAACAATATGACAGTCCAATCATACTCAAGGAGCCCAGCTGATCTATCTGGCTACTGTCTGTGCTAATGGAGAGACAGCTCTTTGTGTTTAGTGGGATGATCTTACTTGATGAAAAGGCCACTGCAATTAGCGCATGCTGGTTGGCTGTGCTGGGTGACAGCAGCGCGGATGGTATAATGGCAGCTGCCAATAACCCTAACTTCAAGAAAACAGACAATTAGGCCTTTGATCCTAACACTGTTAGTCCCTCTACTCCAGCCCTCTGCTCCGCTCCTACTGTAAACCTCGCAAGGGCAGTGTGGTACAACCTCACCAAACAGAACGACTTGGTCAAGAGGTCAATTACCTTTTTCCTCTTGCTTCTGTTCCCACCCCCCTCAAGGAGAGAGCGAGAGACTCATGCAAAATGTAACTAATGAATATTTGCTTTCAACTATACGTTAAAGGAAGCTAAAATATGAGCACGATGCTTTAACATGCATAATTTTTAAATACATTAAAAAACAAGGTGGGGAAAACAAGATGCTAAACTATAACACAGGTATCTAATGGCAAGTGTTCCAATGTTTGCAGGTACATGTATGATTAAATGTTAAAAATTATATCAGAAACGTTATCATTTCAAGATTATCTTTATTATTTTAGGATAGAATAAAGATGGCTGAAATAGTGTAAATACTAAGAGTATATACAAGACATAATCCAAATTATTTCAGTGATTTTCATCAACTTCAGAACAAGTAAATCAGTCAAGTAGAAGTAAAACTAGTTAAATATTGGACCACACATACACATACATGTATTTACGTACAAAAACTATTATACTAGTATAGGCGAATCCATAATCAGAAAGTTAATGTTTGATTCATTAGCACATTTACTAAAATCAGAACGATACAGAGAAAATTAGCCTTGCCCAGTGCAGAGCTGACAAGCAAATTCAGAAAGTTTTCCATATTTTTATTTATTTAAGTGTAAGTTCTTTTTTTTTAAGGTTCTATTTATTTATCTTTAGAGGGGAAGGGAAGGAGAGAGGGAGAGAAATATCAATGTATGGTTGCCTCTCTTGTGTCCCCTGTTCAGAACTGGCCTGCAACCAAGGAATGTTCCCTGACTGGGAATCGAACCGCAATTCTCTGGTTTGCAGGCCCACACTCAATCCACTGAGCTACACCAGCCAGGGAGTTTTCCATATTTTTAAATGAATATTCTTTATATATCTCAAACTTACAACTTTTTTTTAACTTCAAAAGTTTTTTTTTCTAAAACAGTTAAAGAGGTTAAGAGATATTATTAACTCTAAATAGGCAGGTACCTCAACCCAAACCTATCAGATATGTTTATCGTAGACATTTTATTAACTTGTAAGTATAAAAAAAAAGAAAAGAAAAAATGAGTTTATGTCAGTCCTGGGTACTTTCTAATAGAATGTGTATAATGGCAAAACTGGAAAAGTAGCTTAACATATAGCATAAATGTATGTTTCAAATATTCAAATGTCGAAGAACAGTTGGGTACTTTTGGTACTTTTAAGATAAAACAAGGTGTGGAGAGTAGGGTTTTAGAAATGAGAGGAGAACTAGAGATTAAAAGCATGAAAAGAGACTTGGGGAGAGCTTTAGAGCAGAAGAAAACTCAGACACGATAGTTTCTAAGAAGACACAACCAATGTGCTTCGGAAATACAAATTCTTAATATACCTGCAAAGATATCTGTGTTCACAAACTCATAAATAAATGCTAATTAAAACACATGTGGTCTCCCAAATATAAATTGGATAATAAAAAATTAGTGAGGGTGTGGATAAACCAATATTCCCCTCTTCAGTATAAACTGCAAAAGTCTCTCTTAAGGTCAATTCTGAAATATCTATTCAAACTCCATATTACTTTAATCAAAATAATTTTTACTGCACAGAGGTTTATATACAAGAACATACATTATAGTACAGTTTGCAATGTGAAAAAAATGATAGTAACCTGACTATCTAGTAGGAGGGGATCAATGAGCTGTATCATGATACATACATAGAATAGAATAATATAGAGCTAATAAAAAGAAGGTGGATTTATATAAATTAATATAAAATTTTCTATAAGATATAAATATCAACTTATTTGTATAAAATCACACACAAAAACAAGCATATATGTATAGATGTCTGTATATTTTATGTATATGATTATGTATACAATATTTATATTTACATATATGCTTCATATATATTAACATTTTCAGAAATACCAACCAGAAACTGGTAATTGTGGTTAACTATAGGGAGTTGGAGATGGTAAGGAAAGCTTACTTTTCATTTATATTACCTCACATATTTGCATACATATGTATTAGTTTGGTAATTTTTATACTAGTTAATTAAATGGTTTTTGTGTCAATGACCTTTTGCTACCAATATAAATCTAGTCATGACAGTTGTTAATGTAGGTGGAAGCCACTGAGAAGAAAACAAAAGGCACCTTCCTAAAACCACAGTCCCTGGATGTTTAAAGAACTCCAAATGCGAAGACAGAGCCCAGACAATAGGTGCTCTCGCTTTAGTAAACATTCTTCAGATATGTATTGTGGGTCAGGTTTATTCTAGTCTGGAAACGTGAAAAGTAGTAGTGTGCCCACCCAAGAGAATCTCATGGTCTACTTGGACCAATTTAAAAGAGAAATGGGTACAACGATGAAAGCTGAGCACCATGGTAGATAAAAGGCACAGGTGGTTTAGAGTACAGTAGGTGGAGACATCTCAAGCACAAGATGTCAAAGAACCATTGCTTGAAGACACCAGATTTCAGTTTCAGATGGCAAATGTGTCCAGCCAAGGGAATGCCTAGGCCATGGGATTTGATGGGGAAGAAACAATGTGGGCAAAGGAAAGGGTTGTTTGATGTCACTAAGCTCGGAGAACAGAAAGACTAGTAGTGGTGGAAGGTAAATCTAGAGAAGAAAGTAACTAATTCGAAGGAAAAAAGGTGATTCACGACCAAAAGACTTGCAAACTTTTCAATTTTTTTCATCCATTAAGGTAGCATAGAGATGCAGTTGTTGAGGTACATTGAAAAAAGAGAGAACCAACTCCATGTTAAAAGAAAGAGATTCTCGGGACCCCTACAAATTCATGAAATTGAACTGATACTCTTGAATGCATAACAAGTGTCCTGGTTGATTTTAACTGTTTCATGTGATGATATTATCTTTAGCCAAAACATGATCCACCTGAGAGAAACCTAATTATCCCAAATAAAAAACTGCATCTTTAAATTTATTTCCATAGTGACAAATATTAAATTAAATATACAATGCAAAATTTTAATTCCACCAAGACCCTATTATAAAATAATTATTAATTTTCTTGACAAGTTAAAAAATTATTTTTTCTTGAAAGCACCTAAAAAATAGAACAAAGTCCATACACTCTTATTCATCTGACTTTTCAGCGCAATTTATTACTAATTCAAATTAAATTATAACAAGAACTTATTTTAAACTGAATGACTCTACTATGAAACTGAAAAAACATTACAAAATTCCACTAAAATAGTTTATGTTTTAATTTTTTTCGATCTTACTCTATTTCCATAAAGTTTTAAATTACTTTCTAACTCTAAAATATATTAAATTTTATTAATATTATTTTTCTCCTCCACTGAATAAATGAAGAACTTCACTATAACAACTGACCATATTTTAATAGTACCAGTTTTCTAGTAAGTCTGAAAATACAAAGACTACACCACAGAAAGAGAAAATAAATTTCTAGCATCATTACAGCTCTCAAGATGGTGAACTTGTTGGCTTGAGTATTATGCTATTGTGGTCTAATTCTAGGCATTGATCTCCTTGTAGATCATTTAACTTTATCCTGCTCCATTTCAAAAGACTACACCTTTTTCCCTGGCTGGTGTGTCTCAGTGGATTGAGCATGGGCCTGTGAACCAGACAATCGCAGTTTGACTCCCAGTCAGGGCACATGCCTGGGTTGCAGGCCAGTTCCCGGCAGGGGATGCACAAAAGGCAGCCATACATTGATGTTTCTCTCCCTCTCTCCTTCTTCCCCTCTAAAGATAAATAAATAAAATCTTTTAAAAAAAAAAGACTACACCCTTCAACCTGTTCGTCCCTCAAATACCTGTCTTTGGTCAGAAGGAAAATGAAGGAAGAGTGAGTGTGGACAGTTTCATAGAAAGATACACAACTATTCAATTTAAATAAATTAATTCTGTTTAGCAAAAATTTAAAGAATCCTATGCTAGAAATACAAAAACATGAACCATAACCTGGAGCGAAAGTTGTTATAATTTCTTAGCAGAGATATTCATGTAAAGAGAAATACTACAGTATAGTGTAGAAAACACATAATAACAAAGTTATTTTCAAGGCACATAAGAGTGAGAATTATCTAATGGGAAAGTAGGGGAGATGGTATATATTTATGATGTTGTCTGGGAATAAAGCAGGGGTTTGAAGATGGCCACATAATGGTCATATATCATGGCAGCCAACAGGTAACATTCACAATAGACCAGTCCAGCTGAGAAGAAGAATTTAGTCACACAGCCAGCAAAGGAGATGCTTTTGTCTTCAGAGATGCAGGTCATAAGGATTTGGGGAGCAAAAACAGAGGAATACAGCTTCATGCCATGGTGGCTTTCTTAATTCGAATATCATTACCAGCAACACATTTACCCTGAGCTTCTGTGGGAACAATATCACTGATGATTTTTTCTGTGATCTTCCTCCCCTTATAAAGTCAGCCTGTGATGTGAAGGAAAGCTACCAGACCATGCTCAATTTCTTCCTTACCTGCAATGTCATTACTCCCACCATGCTGATTCTTGCTTCTTATCTCTTCATCATCACCACCATCTTGAGGATCCGCTCTACCCAAGGCCATCTCAAGGCTTTCTCCACTTTGTCTCTCACCCGACAGCTGTAACCTTGTACTATGGTTCAATTCTCTTCATTTGCTCCCAAACAAGTATGAGCTATGCCCTGGAAAGGGACAAAGTGCTGTCGTTGTTCTATGCTGTGGTGATTCCAATGTTGAATCCTTTGATCTGCAGCTTAAGAAATAAAGATGCTAAAGATGCTGTGAGAAAAATGACAGGCAGAGCAAGGTGTTCGTAAATGAAAATACTTGGTAAACAACAGCTGTATTTTATTTTACAGGTTATTTCCATGTTATCATTATCAGCTATATGCTCAAAAATAAAACAAACAAGCAAACAAACAAAAATATTGGATAATGTGGTAACACCAATGTACAGTTTTGTCTTTTATATATTTTTTTAATAAGTGGTACATTTTTTAAGTGGAAAAACTGCCATGCTTGTTGGCTTGGAAGAGAGTCCATGAAATTATTGTGATTCTGTGAAGAGTTAAAGAAAAAAATAAAAAAATTTTCACTTTAGAGTTTATACATTGCTTGTATATAAATATTTTAATTGGTTATGGAATCATTGCCAAGGTTAGATGGGGTAAAATGACTTACTTCCAACCCAGAACTTCTGACTACAAAGGTTTTACGCATTTGTTGGGAGAGAGAATTGGGGATTAATAGTAACATTTATAGTGTGAAGTGTCCTTAAAATATTCTAAACTGTACATTACGGTTCTTCAGATATATAAGGTATTAGACGAGGTTAATTCTGAGCAGAAAGAGTGGCAGGCCCACAGTGCACTGAATGCGCATGTCAGGAAACTGTCAGATCTTAGTATTGATTGAATGTATATTTTGAGGAAAAGGAGAGGCACTCAATTTTATTGAGCCTTTTTTCAATTTTTGAGGTATCTCATTATGTTGTGTTCAGGCTCCTAATGAAAATCCCCCCAGAATCCTCATCCATCCATGGAATCTCATGTTCCTAAAGAAAAAAAAAATGCATAAGGACCATGCTGAGTAAAATTGTATTATTTCTAACTATAAGGTTCCCTGATAAACTATGTAAGATAAAAA